AAAAGACAGCTGCAAAAATATTTCAAAATGGATTTTATTGGCCCACCATGTTCAAGGACACGCATGCATTCTACAAAACTTGTGAAAATTGTCAAAAAGTTGATACTGATCAAAAAGTTTTGTTTTATAATTCTTAACTCTATTTATTCCCTAGAGAGCTAAGATCAAGATGGGGCAGTCCATTTATTAAGAAACATGTGTATCCTTTTGGGGCCTTTTGATACTGAGAATTCAATAAATGACAATGTTTTTAATGAAAATGGACATTGTTTGAAAGCTTACTTTGATAATTTTCCTAGTAAAAATGAATCAACTGGTTTGAATGATCTTGTAGATAAAGGTTGATTATTTTGTTTTTCTCACATTGTTTTTGTGTTTTTTTTAAGTGATTTTTGCTTGTTTCTCTCACCCCGGTCAAACGGCAGACAACGATACTCCGTGACTTAAGTCGGTTCTTTCAGTTTCCCATAATAACTGATATCTATGTATATATTTGTGCTATTCTTTGAATCTCTCTTCCAATTCTCATTTGATAATGGACACTAATATTGAAAAATTAAAAAAGTATTTTCCCGCTTTGCCTCAGAACACGATTACAAAAATTTACCGTGCTAGATGTGCAAGATTGAGGTTGTTAATGAATCATGGAATTCCTGAAGATATTCGCTGGTTGGTTGAAGCAAAGGTTCGATTATCAGTTGAGTCCTCTAATTTCTTCATTTCACACATGCGTGGAACAGGTAAAAGCACTTTTGCCAAGAAATGTCGTGCAAAACGACTGAAAGTCTATCATCGATGTGCCAGATGGACTTGTAATGCACAATGTCATTCTTTAGGAATGGTATCTATAAACCGTGAAGATAAAATACAATTCATTAAGGATGGCCTGAGTACGGAGTCTTTAGATAATCTTCTACTAACTCTTGAGACGCATCCTAGTGGAGATGTGCATCATGCAATTCATGATTTATGGCCACTATTTCATAAAAAACATGCTCGACTTAGTCTTGGGAATCTGACTAAAAAAGACCTTGTTTGCTAGTTTTTAAGAAAATTGTATAGGAAGCCTATCCCCGACCCATAGAGGGCGTTTAAGCCGTTTTTGGATGTAAAATCAAGGGAAGATGGAGTCACAATTACAACTACCTGTACATGCATATGCTTTTTTTAAAATAAATAAAAAGAGATAGAGAGAGTGTGTGAGACTCTAGCTGGCCGACATATAGGTTGTATGATTGTCTTTTTAATTTCTCATCTATAAAATCCTCTCTTCCTTCCTTTCACTTCTACTCAACCCATACATTCAACAAATATAAAAGTGTTTAGAAATGATAAGTTCCTCAGGTCATCACATAAGAAATATTTGTGTTTTTGGTGGATTTAGTCCTGGGAAAGAAAAGGAGTTTTTAGAATCAGCAAATCATCTTGGTTAGGTGCTAGTTGAGAGAAAGACTCATTAAGTGTATGAGGGAGGCATTCTTGGGTTAATGGGAGGTGTGTCAATAGCTGTATTTTTACGAGGTAGTCAAGTTTTGGGGGTCGTCCCCGAAGCTTTAGCATGTGGGGACATCATTGGAAAAACAATTAGAGAGGAACTACAAGTCTCCACAATGTCGACTCGAATGAATGTAATGTTTAACCATGCTGATGCCTTCATTGCTTTACCAGGTGGTCTAGGCATATTGGAAGAGATCTTTCATATTTCCTCTTGGGCCCAACTGCACATTTACCATAAACCCATAGGTCTGTTAGATGTTAATGGTTATTATGATAAGTTGTTGTCTTTTCTTGATCATGCTGTGGAATAGGAATTTCTAATATCTTCTACACAAAAAATTATAATCTCTGCTGCTACTGCTGAACAATTGATTGACCAACTATAATCTTTCGTTCCTGTAATTGATCCCTCCATGAGTCGCATAAATTGGTCATCTAAGAAAAGCTGTAAAAAGGTTAGATTAGATTTGAGTCTTCATTTGTAATTTTTTTTGTCTTTTTATTTTATTATTGTGTTTTGATATTTCTTATTTTTGTTTTAGTGTGTTTTAGGTTTGTCCGTGTTCGTTATTTCAGGTGATATCTTCTATACTCTATCTTTCTACCTTAGAACATTGAAGACAATGTCTCGTTTTGGTTGGGGGGAGAGGGTAGTAACTAAAAATTAACTAACTGTGTTTTCTATTTCATAAAGCATGTGCAAAATTGTTGTTACTATGATGGCAGAGTAAAAAAGATCTTTTTATGACTCTTGAGACGCATCTTAGTAACCATTTTTAATAAGATTTATCATAATACTTCTTGAAATATTCAGGTTTACAAACTCTCGCATTGTTATCACTTAATTCTGCTCATATACTCATTTAACATGTATTCTTAAACCTTAATTTACACACACACTTTAACATATGATTGTGGGTTGCACATTGAATTATTACATTATTTATGTTCTTTTGTTAAAGGTAACAACTAAGGGAAAGGGATAATATATAATTTAAAAAACAAAAAAAGAGCAAAAAAAATGATAATAATAAAAATGTAGATAAGTTTGGTTTCGTAGACTCCCTAACCTAAGCAATTAAGCCCGAAGGGGTGTTTTAACACCTAATACCTTAAAGTCAACTTACTTGGGAGCTATTGGCCCAACGCTTGTTACATGGGTTGAGAAGAAAAGCTTAAGGGAATCAAACATTGCACTATCTATGTATCAGTATCTGTGACCTGAGTTACTAATCTCGTAGGGGTGTCTCAACATCTAATGCCCTGAGACCAACTGGTCTGGGAGTAATTAGCTGAAAGCTCGTTACATGGGTTAAAGATGTATGGTGTTTTAAGTTATATGTATATATATTAAAAAAAAGAGAAAAAAAAAGAAAAAAATAATAATCCTAACCCAAGGAAGGTAAGACATAGGCCTACAATTTCCACGTGGAGCCTAAGATCTAAAAAATCCATTTTCAAGTCCAAATTAGAGCAACAACAAAGAAGACTGAATCTGTCTTTGAGCCCAAGCACTGTTCAGTGTTTTGCCCATATCTGGAGTTCTAAAAGTCCAAATGATCTGATTTTTTTACACAAGAAAGCTAAGATAATTTTTACAATATTCATGTTTTCAAGTGGCTTTAGTTTTGACATTATCAATGATGTTTTTGGCAGACAAGAGAAGATAAGGATTGTCACCAAGTTAAGAGTTGGTCACCCACTAATCAATTAGTCATCAAATCAATAGTTTCCAATTTTGGCCTATAAAAGGAGGCATTTGCCATGCAATTAGGCATCTTGGTTTCCAGATCAAGATTATGCTCTTGCTTTTTCTCTTTGTATTTTTTGTAATGTTTATGCTTTGCTTTCATTAATATCAAGTTTATACCTTTCATTTCCTTTTATTTACTTAGTTAACTTCTATCTTATTTATGTTCTTATTTTGTTCTTTTTTTTTCTTTCATTATGTTTAGTTAAGTTTATTATGTCAAGGTGAAAATGTTACACTAATGGTGTAAGAATAAGTATAATGTAAACTTAATATGGACTTTAATGTTTGATACTAACATGTTTTGTATTTGTTATCTTATTCACTCTTTAATACTTTGCTTGTTAAATGACTAATCTAGATTTATGTTGTATAATACTTAGTACAACAAATACTTGGCACTCTCATAGCCCATACTGTATGGTATAACCGATACCTGAGCTATGAAAGGAACTTGATTTGATGTTAACATAAGTTATAATCATGAATGCCTGACGAGATTTACAAGTATTAACATTAATCGAATAAGATAACTAATGTAATTATGTTAACAATTTAAAATCTGATTGGAACCTCCTTTGTGTGTGGTTTCCAATTGAATAATGAGAGTTTATACTATAGTTATTTGACATACCATTAGTGGATCTTCTAACATTGACATTTGTTATCATCATTGTTTAATCCTTACATTAATATTCCATTTCAAAGGTCTCATCTTCTTCTTCTTCTTCTTCTTCTTCTTCTTCTTCTTCTTTTTCTTTACTATTATTATTATTATTATTATTATTATTATTGTTGTTGTTGTTGTTGTTGTTGTTGTTGTTGTTGTTGTTGGTATTACTACTACTAATATTATTATTGTTGTTGTTGTATTATTCTTATTTATAATTTGTACAATTAAACTCCCTATGGTTCGACCGCGGTCTTGCCAGGTTATTTATTACTTCGACACTCCTGTACTTGGGAGAAGACATCAATCTCTTAGTCGTGTTAGCTACCGAAACTGAGTTGTCCACAACGAATTTGTGATTTGCTGTCGAAACTAGGTCTTCTGTAGCGAATTCGCATTCGCTGCCGAATTGTATATTGTGCAATGAAATCGTGATTCACTGCCGAAACTGTGTTGACTGCGTGTGTTGTGCTGCAAAACTGTGATTCGCTGTTGAAACTGAGTCTTCTGCAGCGAATTACCATTCGCTGTTGAATTGTGTATTGTGTAGTGAAATTGTGATTTGCTGCTGAAATTGAGTCTTCTGCAGCGAATTAGCATTCGTTGTCGAATTGTGTGTTTTGTAATGAATTTGTGATTCGCTATCGAACCTGTGTTGTCTACAGTTAATTAACAATTCAATGCCGAGTGGCGTGTTTTGCAGCGAATTTGCGATTCGCTGCCATAGTGGAGTTCTCTGTAGCAAATCGCTGCTGAAGTTAAGTTGGCTGCAGTGAAATTGCGATTCGCTGTCAAATCTGAGTTGTCTACTACGAGTTAGCATTTGCTACCGAAAATATGGCGCCAGCAACGAAACAGTTCTCGTTGCCGAACTGGGCAGCCTGCAGCGAACCTGTTCTCGCTACCGATTTCTACAATAAGCCTCTTAGACAAAAATGACTTAAATGCTAGTAACAATTTCATGGTATGATGTTGTGAAATATGGATCACTTGAATGAGAACATATGAACTCTTGAAATAAGTGCGGGGACGAATGTGATTCAAAAATACAAATGTATTAATTTGTGACCATTGATGTCTTAGGTGGTGCGGTCGGGATTGGACCATCGTCAAGAAAAGAACAACCCACAGGTGGAGCAGGTAGGTGACTTTCACCTTCCTTTTTATACGTTAAATAATGAGATATTTTAACATGAATGTTATCATAATGGGTTAGAACAATTATCAGATTGTCAAACATTTAAATGTTGATTAACTTCGGCTAATGGCATCTGAAGGGATGTCCAGGACAAGGGAATGATTTGCCTCGGCTAATGGCATCCGAAAGGATGACCAGGACAAAAGAATGATTAGCCTCGGCTAATGGCATCTGAAGGGATGACCAGGACAAAGAAATGATTAGCCTCCGCTAATGGCATCCAAAGAGATGATCAGGACAAAGAACTGATTAGCCTCGACTAATGGCATCCGAAAGGATGACTAGGACAAATGATTGAGTAGCTTCGGCTAAAGGCATCTGAAGTGGATGATTAGGGGGAGTGAACAGCTAACCTCAGCAAATAATTCCTTAAGAGGATAGTTGGGTTTAAGATTATGGTTGATTGCAAGAATTGGTGCATCTATATGCGTTATAAGTTGTGTATACCAAGCACATGAAGAAACTATAAATATCATGCATCAAACATGGAATAATGTTAATGTTTTATTAATCTGCCAGATCATTTAATTATCATTATTATTAAAAAGCAATTGCATTCTCTTAAATGTTATGTACTGCAGCAGGGATGTCACATCAACGAGATGCCTACGAAGCCCGATACACGGGAACCTACTCTTGCAAGGAATTATGTAGTTGCATCCTAAATCATGATGTATTTTGTATGAATCAATGTATTAAACATATAAATTTTATTGGATCCTTTTGTTAAATTCATGATGACTATTATTAGGATAGGAATTCAAACTCATGTCTTTTTATGTATATTATAATATGAACTGCTAATCATGCAAATATAATATTATGTGTTTATGTAAGATTCACTTTTAAATGAAATGTTGAATGTCGTTGACGTATGTATTGCATCTTGATGATGTGAGGAAACAGGTTTGCCAATTACCGACATGATATGTGTCAAGTAAAAAAAAACAAAAAATTTAAGGTTGTCTGGGGCTTGAAAAGCCGGGTTGTTACAACCATCATTGACACGACTAAAAGATTGATGTCTTCTCCCAAGTGCAGGAGTGTCGAAGTAATAAATAACCCGGCAAGACCGGGGTCGAACCACAGGGAGGTTAATTGTACAAATTATAAACAACAATTATAAACAACAATAATAGCAATAACAACAATAACTATAACAATAATAACAATAATAATAATAATAATAATAATAATAATAATAATAGTGGTAGTAGGAGTAGTAATAATAATAATAATAATAATAGTAATAATAATAATAATAATAATAATAATGAAAGAGAAGAAGAAGAAGATGATGATGATGATGATGATGATGATGATGATGATAACTTTGAGATGAAATATTAATTAAACAATGATAATAACAAATATCAAGGTTAGAGATTCCACTAATGGTATGTCAAACAAGTATAATATAAACTCTTATTATTCAATTGGAAACCACACATAAAGGAGATTCCAATCAAATTATAGATTGTTAACATGATTACATTAGTCATCTTATTCGATTAATGCTAATACTTGTAAATTTCGTCAAGCATTCATGATTATAACTTATGTTAACAACAAATCAAGTTCCTTTCATAGCTCAGGTGTCGGTTATACCATACATTAGGGGCTATGAAAGTGCCAAGCATTTGTTGTACCAAGTGTTATACAACATAAATCAAGATTAGTTATTTAACAAGCAAAGTATTAAAGAGCGAACAAGATAACAAATATAAAACATGTTAGTATCAAACATTAAAGTCCATATTAAGTTTACATTATACTTATTCTCACACCATTAGTGTAACCTTTTCACCTTGACATAATTAACTTAGCTAGACATAATGAAAGAAAGCAAAATAGATAAACAAAATAAGAACATAAAAGTTAACTAAGTAAAGGAAAGGAAATGAAAGGCATAAACTTAATATTAATGAAAACAAAGCATAAAAAATACAAAGAGAGAAAGGAAGAGCATGATCTTGATCTGAACACCAAGATGCCTAAATGCATGGCAAATGCCTCCTTTTATAGGCCAAAATTGGGAACTATTGATTTGATGACTAATTGATAAGTGGGTGACCAACTTTTGACTTGGTGACAATCCTTATCTTCTCTTGTCTGCCAAAAACGTCATTGATAAAGTCAAAACTGGAGCCAGTTGCAAACATGAAAGTTGTAGGCAATTGTCTCAGCTTTCTTATGTAAAAAATTCAGCTCATTTGGAACAGTGCTCGGGCTGGAAGACAGATTCAGGCTTCTTTGTTGTTTCTACAATTTGGACTTGATAATGGCCTTTTTAGATCTTGGGCTCCATATGAAAGTTGTAGGCCTATGTCTTACCTTTCCATCCATATAAATTGGACCTAAATCTGAGATCTGTAGCTCCAGATATGACCCAATTACCGAACAGTGTTCCGGTTTGGATTGCACCGACATCTCTTCTCTAAGTTTGACCATCTCTTTATCCATGCAATTTAAGTTCTTCAAGTCATCAATCAATCCTTTCATTTATGTGATAGACCTGCATTAAAAATAGACATTTACCACAAATTATAGGTATCTTATATTATTAGATACATTATTATAAAACATATTTTAGTTAAGGAGTTATTGATACTTCAAGTGCAAAATGATGATATAAAACCATGATAAAAATGCACTTTTAAGTACTAATCAATCATCAAGACAAGAATAACCCACAGGTGGAGCTAGTAGGTGACTTTTACCTTCCTTTTTCATACATTGAATAATGAAATACTTTATCATAAATGTTACCATATTGCATTAGAATGGATATTAGATTGTCAAACGCTTAAATATTGACAAATGAATGATTAGCTCCAGCTATAGACATCCGATTGGATGATAGGGACGATTGATTGATTAGCCTCGGCTAATGGCATCCAAATGGCTGACCGAAAAAAATGAATGATTAGCTTCAGCTAATGGCATCCAAATGGATGATGATTAGTACTTAAAAATGCATTTTTTATCAAGGTTTTATATCATCATTTTGCACTTGAAGTATCAATAACTCCTTAACTAAAGCATGTTTTATAATAATATAAGATACCTTTAATTTATGGTAAATGTTCATTTTAAATGCAGGCCTATCACATAAATGAAAGGATTGATTGATGACTTTAAGAACTGAAATTGAAAAGACAAAGAGATGGCCAAACTTAGAAAAGAGATGCTGGTGCAATTCAAACCGGAACACTGTTTGGTAATTGGGTCATATCTGGAGTTGTAGATCTCAGATTTAGGTCCAGTTTATATGGATGGAAAGGTAAGACATAGGCCTACAACTTTCATATGAGCCCAAGATCTAAAAAAGCTATTTTCAAGTCCAAATTAGAGCAACAACAAAGAAGTCCGAATCTGTCTTCCAACCCGAGCATTGTTCAGTGTTTGGCCCATATCTCGAGTTCTAGAAGTCCAAATGAGCTGAATTTGTTACACAAGAAAGCTGAGACAATATCCTACAACTTTTACGTTTTCAAGTGGCTCTAATTTTGATGTTATCAATGATGTTTTGGGCAGACAAAAGAAGATAAGGATTGTCACTAAGTCAAGAGTTGGTCACCCACTCATCAATTAGTCATCAAATCAATAGTTCCCAATTTTGGACTATAAAAGGAGGCATTTTCCATGCATTTAGGCATCATGATTTCTAGATCAAGATCATGCTCTTGCTTTCTCTCTTTGTATTTTTTGTAATGTTTATGCTTTGCTTTCATTAATATCAAGTTTATGCCTTTCAATTCCTTTCCTTTACTTAGTTAACTCTTATCTTATTTATGTTTTCTTGTTAATAGGCCTATCACATAAATGAAAGGATTGATTGATGAATTTAAGAACTGAAATTGAAAGGATAAAGAGATGGCCAAACTTAGAAAAGAGATGTCGGTGCAATCCAAACCAGAACACTATTCAGTAATTGGGTCATATTTGGAGCTATAGATCTCAGATTCAGGTCTATTTTATATGGATGGAAAGGTAAGACATAGGCCTACAACTTTTATATGGAGCCCAAGATCTAAAAAGGCCATTTTCAAGTCCAAATTGTTGCAACAACAAAGAAGCCCGAATCTGTCCTCCAGCCCGAGCACTGTTCAGTATTTTGGCCATATCTGGAGTTCTAAAAGTCCAAATGAGCTGAATTTTTTAAACAAGAAAGCTGAGACAATTTCCTACAACTTTCATGTTTTGAGTGGCTCCAATTTTGACGTTATCAATGACGTTTTGGCCAGACAAGAGAAGATAAGGATTGTCACCAAGTCAAGAGTTGGCCACCCACTCATCAATTAGTCATCAAATTAGTAGTTCCTAATTTTGGCCTATAAAAGGAGGCATTTGCCATGCATTTAGGCATCTTGGTTTCCAGATCAAGATCATGCTCTTCCTTTCTCTCTTTGTATTTTTTGTAATGTTTATGCTTTGCTTTCATTAATATCAAGTTTATGCCTTTCATTTCCTTTCCTTTACTTAGTTAACTTTTATGTTCTTATTTTGTTTATCTATTTTGCTTTCTTTCATTATTTTCCTTTCATTTACTTTGTTAATTTTTATCTTATTTATGTTCTTATTTTGTTTATTTATTTTTATTTCTTTCATTATGTCTAGCTAAGTTTATTATGTCAAGGTGAAAAGGTTACACTAATGGTGTAAGAATAAGTATAGTGTAAACTTAATATGGACTATAATGTTTGATACTAACATGTTTTGTACTTGTTATCTTGTTCACTCTTTAATACTTTGCTTGTTAAATGACTAATCTAGATTTATGTTGTATAACACTTGGTACAACAAATACTTGGCACTCTCATATCTCATACTATATAGTATAACCGACACCTGAGCTATGAAAGGAACTTGATTTGTTGTTAACATAAGTTATAATCATGAATGCTTGACGAGATTTACTAGAATTAGCATTAATTGAATAAGATGACTAATGTAATCATGTTAACAATCTATAATCTGATTGGAACCTCCTTTGTGTGTGGTTTCCGATTGAAAAATAAGAGTTTATACTATACTTGTTTGACATACCATTAGTGGAACCTCTAACCTTGACATTTGTTATTATCATTGTTTAATCGTTACATTAATATTAGTATTGTTATTATTATTTTTACTATTATTATTAGTATTAGTACTATTATTATTTTTGTTATTGTTATTATTGTTATTATTATTATTGTTATTACTATTATTGTTGTTGTTGTTGTTATTATTATTGTTGTTGTAAATATATTTATAATTTCTACAATTAACCTCCCTGTGGTTCAACCCCGGTCTTGCCGGGTTATTTATTACTTCGACACTCCTGTACTTGGGAGAAGACATCAATCTTTTAGTCGTGTTATTAACTATTGTGACATGACCAAAAGATTAATGTCTTTTCCCAAGTGTAGGAGTGTCGAAGTAATAAATAAACCAACAAAACTAGGATCGAACCACAGGGAGGTTAATTTTATAAATTATAAATAAAAGCAATACAACAACAACAACAACAACAACAATACTAAATAATAATAATAATAAAGAAAAAAAAGGAGAAGAAGAAGAAGATGATGAGAGCTTTGAGATGAAATATTAATGTAAGGATTAAACAATGATAACAACAAATGTTAAGGTTAGAGGTTCCACTAATGGTATGTCAAAC